GGAGAGGGAGGAGAGGGAGGAGAGGAGGGGGAGGCGGTGAGAGCGGGGCTCCAGGAGGAGCAGCCTGAGCCTACCGTACTGTGTGGAGTAGCCGCCCCTCCGCCCACCCGCCCGCCGCTGGGCGCTCGGAGTTCTGGTAGCTTAGACTCAAAACCACTCCATTCATTCATTCGTTCGTTCGTTTACCTCCCCGTTCACTCACCCATCCATGCCATCCACTCTTCCCGCTGATTGTCATCATGCCATGATTCAGTTATTTGTTGATGTATTCCATGTGTTTCCTCCTTATTTATTTTATCCATCTATCCACACATTTGTGCACTTATCCACACATCCTTTCAGGCAGGAACATCTCTGTCCTGTTTGCCCAGTGCAGGGATCTGCGGGTGGTGGTGTCCAGTAAATATCTGTTGAATAAACCCCTATTGCTGCCTCTGTCTTGCCACCTCCCTTTTTCCTGGAGGAGGACATATTCAACAAGGACACATGCAATAAGGCAAAGAGAGTAAAAGTAACACGTGATTAGTAGTTGGGGCTTCAGACTCAAAACACCAAAGAAGAACTTGGGACAGCTAGACTGGCCAGAACAGATCCATGTAGTCTGAAGAAATTAGAGAATGAATTTCAAAGTTTGGATTTGAAATCTGACACTGTCACTTAACTGGCTTGGTGATCCTGAGGAAGCTGCACAACTTTCTTAAGCCTTAACTTCCTTACATGCAAAATGGGAATGACAATACTGGTTACTACAGAGGCGTTTTGTGGGCATTAAATTAAATGATGCCTTCAAAGAAACTAGCACAGTGCCTGGCTCACGGTCAGTGCCCAATAAAAGTTCTGTAATGATTAGTTCAATAAAACATAGCTTATCATTTATACATAAACACACATTGTATTTTTTTTCTGGCACAGATTTGAGAGAGAGTAATAATTTCACAACACAATGTAAGAATGGCTTCTTTGGAGACTTTAACAGCTACAATCGCCAGATGAAGGTCATAATTTCCAGAAGATTCTTCCAGGGGATCCCCAGTTACAAATATGAAACATTAGGACACATCCTCTTATGACTCACGGTGAACTGACAGCCAGGACTCCATTAACTCTCTTTTCAGCACACCACAGAACAAAGAACACTAGTTATAACAACGTCCCTGAGTTTTTTAGTTTTTTAGTATTTTTTTTTCTCGCTCTGTCGCCCAGGCCGGAGTGCAATGGTGCAATCTCAGCTCTTACTGCAGCCTCCGCCTCCCGGGTTCAAGCCATTCTCCTGCCTCAGCCTCCCAAGTAGCTGGGATTACAGGCTGCGCCACCACACTCGGCTAATTTTTGTATATTTAGTAGGGACAGGGTTTCACCACGTTGGCCATGCTTGTCTTGAACACCTGACCTCAAGTGATCCACCCGTCTCGTCCTCCCAAAGTGCTGGGATTACAGGTGTGAGCCACCGTGCCCAGCCTGTCGCTGAGTTTCTACAAGATTCCATGTTGCTTTATAAATAATCTAAAATTCAGTTATATTCTGAATTATTCTCATATTAGCATTTTATTTTAATTCCTTGAGAACCCATTGTATTTAAAGTTCTAGGGATGAGAATATTTAGCAATTTGGAAGCTCTTGCCAAGCAGACATCTAGAAAATGGCAGGGTGCAAGTTCAGTGTGGGGGACATGTTGTAGGTGAGTAAGCGCAAAGAATTCATTAGTTCTCAAAGATGAGGGGGAAGGTGCCATCCTACTCGGAAGCATCTGAAATTGTGGGAAGGCTGACAGGTTCTACTAGCATATGCAAAACCTCCTGCAATGCTCAGGACATGACAACAACGAAAACTATCCTGGGCCAGCGTGGGACCCTGTTGAGAAACACTAGGCCAGGCTAAGGCCTGATGTTTAGACCTTTCAGGTTTAGAAATGGCCACCACTATGTTGACATGTGGCCCAGAGAAGCAGGCATTCCCAACTCTGTCTTGCCCCCTCCCTTCTACCTCTGGGAGGACAGATGCAACAAGGATAAGCAAAGGTAAAGTGAGTCAAAGTAACACTTGATTAGTAACCAGGGTTTTAGCCTTAAACACCAAAGAATAATGGACCAAAGAGAGGACTCAGTTTTCTTGAACCTCACTGAAGCAAAAAAAAAAAAAGAGCCTGATTTGCCTCCTTCCACTGAGTCCAAACCCAACTTTTGGATTTGTTTGGATTGCTCTGATTCGTCGAAAATTACATCCTCTAATTTTTTATTTTTTTGGATGTGGGCAAACCTCATTTTAATTGCAAAAGACTTCATTTACAGCACATTCAATAATGAACCAACAGGAGAGTTGCTGACTTTGGAACATGTGAATATATAAAAATCCCTTACAATTCAGGTAGTCAAGATAATAAGCACATACAAGGAAAGCAACCCTCAATTTTCTGAAAACTTTTACATTTTAAAAGATGACTAGGCATACTTGGAAGTTCAAAGCAGTAGGATGTCCCTTGCAGGGAAAGGAGGAGGAAAACCCTTTTCCATGTTGTTAGACAAATGTGTATCAAATATATCCCAATTCCACTTGATAAAGTCAGTTGAATGACCTCTTTGAACCAAGCTAGGGCAGAACACTTAAGAGGGCCTTGGGTGGGGATGTGAGTCGGGAGAAGAGGAACGCCAGATCCCATGCAGCGCCAAACACATCCGTTCCACCCTCTAACACAGATGAGGCACGTGGCCCATGTCCGTGCACCCCAGATACACAAGAACAGTCATCAGATGGTTACTGCTCCCACGGCCTTGTGTTTTCTAATGGTCTTAATTCAGGCCATGGAGAAAATCCTTTACCACCAAACGCAAACTGTCATTGAACTTAAGTCATAAAGAATGTTATGGGGGAAATTCTTGTAACACATACATGAGGACTTCTATTTAACTCACTAGAATAATGATTACACAATTGACATTCCTGTTTTCATAAGGTTTTGTTCTCTACACTGGAATGGCTTAAGAAAAAGTTGTCTATTTTTGGTTTTATTTTACACTTTCAAAAGAGAGGGAACAGAGAGAAAAAATGTGACTAACTGCCCAACTTTGGGACCCAGCAGGTACAAAAGTGGACTTCTCTGACTCTAGGTCCATCAGATTTGGGGGAAGTTTCAGTGCCTAGGGAAGGTCAGAGAAGCCCATTACACCCCCAGTCCTACAGAAAGAATTCTACAGCTAATCTATCATAGTGTTCTAGCAAAGCATATGTTGAAAACTACAAGTGTCAACCTAACATCTAAATTTTTTAAAGTAGCATTTCAGCAACAAACAAGCTCAGAGAGCTCATCACAAAAGTGAAATAACAGAACTATTGCTCAGATGTCTGAAAAGTCAAGCTGCTGCCGTCAGCTCCACCCACTTGAAGGCTTAGGCAGACATGTAAGGTGGCGGCGGCTCCTTGGCAGCACCATTCACAGTGGCATCATCATACACGGGTAGTGTCATTGCTGGTAACATAAACCAGGACATCGGAGGAGTTCCTGGCATTGGTAGCAGTTCCAAAACAGCTAATCAAGTAACCCTTAAAAGTCAAGATAATGCTAATAAACAGAAGAATAATAAGGACCAAATAGGTAGGATTCACTGACATGACATCCTCTCTGTAGGGAAAATTAGGAGGCAGTTGTCATGTGTATTCCTGAATGGAGTTTGGACAAACAAGCACAGTGACTGCAACCAAGGTATTTAGGGCAAAATCAAAGATCTGGTAGCAGAAGAATGGGATGATCCGGGCTGTGTATTGCTTGTATGCTCCGTAAGCAGCCAATAGCACATATCAGGATCATGAGAAGAGAAATCACAATGGCAATGCACATGTAGTTCCACACGACTGGGGAGGCCTCAGAATCATGGCAGAGGGTGAGAGGAACTTCTTACCTGGCGGTGGCAAGAGAGAATGAGCTACATCCTCTAATATTATAGAAAAGGCTTCCAGACTTCCTTACCCATGGCTTACCCAATGTCTCACTTAAATGATAGAAAAAAATGCTTAATTATAATGCTTTATAAATCATCTAAAATTCAATTATATTCCAAATCGTTGTCATATTAGCATTTTATTTTAATTCTTTGAGAATCCACTGTATTTAAAGTTCTGGATGTGGGAATATTTAATAATTTGGAAGCTCTGAAATCTGTTTTTTCTCCTAGAATCTTGACACCTCTAGTTACCTAGTGGCTCGAGCCAGAAATTATGTGAAAACCATCCTCTTTCCCTCACCTCTTATATGACTGATCTATTGTTGCAAAACAAATGACCCACAACATTTAGTGGCTTAATATGCATAATCTCATAGTTTCTGTCGGTCAGGAATCTGGGCATAGCTTAGCTGGGCCCTCTGCTTCAGTCTCTCACAAGGCTACCATCAGTTGTTGGCCCACCTCTGTGGTCTTATCTGAAGGCAC